AAACAAATCACAGGTTTTAGAGAAAAATTCAGCTTTGCTTCTTCTGCCATGCCAACAAATCCTGTATCCATTGATGTTTTGATCCCAGTACTCTCCAAAAGAGATAATCTGGTAAAGCATCTCTGAATATATTTCTGGCTCTCCACGTGACAGTAACATTTTCTAGGCATAAAATAAAATGAGCAAAGGGGGATTAATTTTGCAGAGTGCTGCTATTATGCCAGTGGAATAACCCAGCACCAGTTCCATGGGTGTATTAATTTTCTTGCTTCTTCAGGGAGATGGAGGGAAGGTTTATCTGTTGAAAGAAAGGCAAATGCCTCACCAAAAATGGAAGAAAAGAAGGATATTTTTGGCTTGATCCTAACGAAAGTGTTATTGAACACTGAGCTATATCATTTTAGAGTATTCCTCAGATTTGGTTTATCTTTCTTTCACCTAGGTTACTTGAAAATTTTAATATTATTGTTATTAACACCTCCCGTATAGTCCTGGAATTCAAGTGTCTCCCAGTGGCCTTGGTTCTTGGTCCTAGTGGCTTGGAACCCTGCCCTCGGGGTTCAGAATGATGAAGTCTGTCACACCACACTGAGATCTCTGAATAGGATTGCATCTTCAGGAACGAGAAACATGCTTTTTCTAGAGCGTTCCATCTCCTGAGGTGCTACGTCTGTGTCATACCCATCAGGGCCTCTTTCTGTCATTTAGTTAAATATACTTAGAGAATCTACTAAATGACTTATAACCTGCTGGCATCAGAGATAAAACATGAACAAAAAACTTTTTGCTCCTTATTTCATCACAAGCTTGTCAGGCAGGAAGAAGAGTAAACAGATAAATTTCAACATAAGCAGTAGGCAGAGTTATATAAAATTGTGGCATATGGGGGCTGCCATTTAGCCAGGCACACTGGTTCATCCATCCCAGGTATTCAGTGTGAAAACAGTTCTGTATCTGTTGCTAAATAACTGAGTGCCCCTCACCTCTAGGCCCTGTGTGGCTCCCTGGGATTCCTGGATATCCTGTGCCCCATGGCTAAAGGGTTTATATCTGATATAGCACTAGGCCCCCAAGAATCTTCTCTTGTGCTAAGAAAGCCATGCAGTTATTAAATATCTGGAATAAAATCCCTAGGTATGAAGAAAGGACTTTAGAGAGAACAGAGGAAGGAGGAGCCCAGCCTAGAGTTCTGAAATGCTTGTGCTTCATCCCTAGGGTCCCCTGTTTTCATATTTGAAAGGGCTTAGTCAAAAGAAGTATAAGGAATCCTCGGTGGGCCTCTTCCTCCTCTGAGACTTTCTTTGCCACTCTCTTCCCTTGGGCTCTGAAAGGAGATCTACCAAGAGTAGTCTCAGCCTAAATTTCCTCTTTGGGAGAAAATGCAAGGGACAGTCCAGTGTCTTGAGACCATAAGGACTGAATGAACAATAGCAAATTTAAAGACCAGGGGAAGGGGTTGGGCATGGTGGCTCACACCTGTAATTCCAGCGCTTTGAGAGGCTTAGGTGAGCAGATCACCTGAGGCCCAGACTTTGAGATCAACCTGGCCAGCATAGTGAAACCCTGTCTCTACTAAAAATACAAAAATTAGCAGTGCGTGATAGCAAACGCCTGTAATTCCAGCTACTCAGGAGGCTGAGGCATGAGAAATGCTTGAACCCACGGGGGCAGAGGTTGAAGTGAGCCAAGATCATGCCACTGCACTCCAGCCTGGGCGACAGAGCAGGACTCCATCTCAAACGAAACGAAACGAAACGAAATGAAACGAAACAAAACAAAACAAAACAAAACAAAACAAAACAAAAGATCAGGGTAAGGGCAGCCGCAGATCACAACTTGCTACAGATAGTTTCATTAACCAATTATTTGGTAGTGTTGTTGAAAGACTGTTTCTGATTTTAAAGCTCACAATATCGTCTTCATTTGTAGCATGTGTGGACTCCAACCCAAGCAACTGACTAGAGAATATAGGAGAGTATCTTGGTGATTCTTAGAACAGAAGCTTCCCCTCTGCATACTCCACAGTGCCAGGAAGAGGAGCAAGGTACTCAGTAAGAATTTTAAATCCAAGAAGTTGAGTTCGGTCTTGTGTGAACTAAAAAAATTGCAATAATAGTACTAACAGTGGCCAATGTTTCTTGATTGCTTTTGACATGTTCTAGGTGGTTTGCATGTAAACCTCATGCCCACATTCTGCATAGATGCTATTCTATTATTATCTCCCCTTTATGATTACAGAAACTTCGGTTTTTAAATACCTTGACCAAAGTAAAAAATGGTGATGTATGTGTTTAAACTTGACATTCTGTAAGAACATTAGAAAACCTTCTATTGTGGAGATTATAGGATGCCAAAATAGGGGAGAAGTGAAATGTTATTACCTTAGAAATGCCTATGCCATTATTTGTAGCCAATGTGGTATATCAAAACTAAGACTTGACTTCTTGAAAAACTTATTGATTTGGAGAGAAAAGGAATTACTGCCTCCTGACATTCTGCAAAGAATGTACTTGACTACTTCCTCAATGGAACTAGACATATGCTTATAAAACAAAGATCAATTGAAACAATCAGCCATATGTTCATTGAACATACTCTGTCTGACTCTTTCTTGGAATCATTTGCCTTGGAGACAAAAGGAGCACAAATGCAGGTTGGCGTCATCTCCCAAAGACTGATCCTAATTATTACAAAACACATGAGTTTTACCTGCTGGTTTTCCTTTCAGATCAATATTTCACTTTGTCCTATTTTTATGCGTGAAGATTCTTTAAACAAATAAACATTAAATAATGGATGCATTTATATTAAAATGAAAATGACTGTATAATCCTTTAACTCACTAAGTTACCTTTCATCCATTTCTTTTTTAATTTATGTGCTCCTCTTGAGCAAATGGCAGTCGTAATATGTCATGTTAAGGTATTCATTAGCTTTCTGATCTTGGTGATTTTAATAGTGTTGAAAAGAGTCTACACAGGAATTTATTAGCCTGCTCTGGAGCATGTGTGTTTGATCTCTCTTCTGACTTAAGAAAATGAAAAATAAAAGTGCATTAAATATAGTTCTTTGAATGTCAAATGGGTATATGATTTTTGAGTTTGCCAAGTTTTAATTGGTCTCTTCCCTAGTGATGATACAAATAGAATTCACAGCCAATTAGTTTGCAGTCATGAATCTTTACTCCATGACAAACTGAACTACTTGGTTGAGGAGGCTGAAAAAAATGAAGAAATTATTAAGATCTCCTCACCTAAAGTCTTTGCAAGGATCAGTTACCTTTTATAAGCCTGGAGCAAAAATGATGCTATGGATACCCATGTTGTTCATGATTTGTTTTGGTCTTTATTAAGGTGGTTTAATGGAGGAGGTGTGCATTAAAATTTTAGAAATACCATTAAGAAGACAGATACACTACTGTAATTACCAGAATGAAATACTGAATAGAGAAGAGTTTCCATCTTCCTAGTCATACTAAATCATACCGTGTCTTAGTGCTGGAAGATAAGGTTTTGATGCCATTGAATGAAATAGCTACTATCATGCAAAGTCTCTGATACGATTGGCATGAGATGCCAATTAGTGGTAAACAATAGCTCTCTTTCAAAGTAAAAATAGGAATTTCATTAAAATTTCCTTTGAGTTCTTTGCATTGACTCATAGAGATATAAATGGCCATGATAGAAAGATGGAATTACTTCATAAGGACTCTACATAAATTTTCAATTACTTAATTTTTATTATTAATAAAAGAACAATCAGATGTTTGAGTTTGTTGTCAGGGGACCAGCTAACTACCTGACCCCATCTTTACTTCCTGAAAAATGGAAAAACTATGAGAAATAAAATACTAAGTACATTACAAGTTATTAATTGCTTTTGGACAATGTTGAAAGTCTCAATAGTATTACTTTTTCACTTTCATACACAGGCACAACTTCAGGGCTTAATTTTTTAAAATTCATATACATCGGACCCATATAGAAGTCCAAATTGCAACAACTGAAATATGCCTCTTTCAACACGTGCAATACAGAGTAAAACTTTCAAATTACTCAACGTAGGCCAGTGAAGACTGCCACCAAACTGGCCACTATGCCACTTGTCAAATCAATGTGCACTTGGGCTTGTAGGACAGGAATCAGTTAGGACAATAGTGTCAGATGCATATAAGGATGTCTGCTATTAATCATGTAAAGGGTAACTTTTTTCAGAGTTTAGGATTTATTTGTTAACAAAGGAAAGACAGAATATTAGTTTTCCTCAATAGTGTGGTCTGAGATGATGGTGAGTGCTTGCAATCTCTTCTGGGTCACAGAGTCCTCTTCCCCAAAGAGAGATATTTTTAAAGGGCATGGTATTGTGTGGTGCTAATGAAAAGTCATGGTATGCATCTGATTTGTAATACTTCATTAGCAACTAATAGGCTTTGTTCTAGCAGAAACCCAAAAATGAAAAATAAAGGACTTGATGGAAAGGTTATAGGATGAAACTAATTGACACCTGTTACTCCTAAAACATGTTATTACGCAAGGTGTGTGGGCATGGCTTTCAGGTATGTCTATAACTATATCACAGAATGAAAAATACACATGTAAAGTGCACAGGCTCACAGACACAGAAAAACACACACTCTTCTTACACTCACATTTTTTGCATATCAGCAAGAACAATAATAAAATTCATGGCACTTTGTTAAGTCATACCATCTCTCTCTAGGATAAATGCCAGATAAAATAAAGCAGTATTTCTGATTTCTTGAAAGAGAATGACAAAATTAAACCAAGCTGCCTGTGGCTTTGTCCAATGGGGCATTCTAATTGACTCCCAAGTCATTAATCAGTTCCCAATCAATCTATTTTGCCAGCAGCAGGCAGTTAGAACTCCATTACCATCCATTCATCATGCCATACCCTAATTCACTGCACCATTAGCCATGGATTAGGCCCCTGTTAGAATAACTTAGTGCCAATCGCTAAATGCAAAGAATTGCTATTCACCTCAGCCACTGGGATCCCTTCAGGTGGTCGACACTGGAGTAAGACTTCTTGTTCCAAGGATACTTCTTTTCCTAGGGGTTCCTGCTCAAATGTCTTCCGTAGATCTGGAAAGCACACGTGACAAAATATATGTCAAAACTAAAACTAAATAACATTTATTCATTTACAGAAAGCAAAAAAAAATTTTCAGCTTAGTATTTTATCTGTGCTTTTTTTTTTTTTTTTTGAGACAGGGTCTCACTCCATGTTCTCCGCTGGAGTGCAGTCGTATGATCATAGTTCACTGCAGTTTTGAACTCCTGGGCTTAAGTGATCCTCCTGCCTCAGCCTTCTGAGTGGTTGGTACTACAGGTGCATGCTACTGTGCTTGGCTATTTTTATTTATTTTTAATTTTATTTATTTTTTTGTAGAGATAGGGTCTCACTATATTTCCCAGGCTAGTCCCAACCTCCTGACTTCAAGTGATTTTCCTGCCTTGGCCTCCCAAAATGCTGGCTCTATAGGTGTGAGCCATGGTGCCTGGCCTTGCATTTTTGTTTAACTACATGTTGTTAGTACTTTACTATAATCTGGTGTCTATATTTTGGGGTATAAATTATGAAATTCAGAAGCTATAAACTGTTCCTACCTTAAACATCAATCTTTGGAAGTCTTCATTTGAACAATTAATGAAGTGCATTAATTGATTAGTATTTCTTGATCAATTATGATGATCACAGTTTTAAATCATAAGAACCTCATTCTCATGATTCTTATACCTACAGAGTCCCTTATGTACATATATATTTTCCTGTTTTCTCACAATGGATACTATTGAATCTCCAGTCACTCTGGAATCTTTTGATCAATACTCTAAGTCTGTTTCTATTTCAAAGTGGAAAACAGAATGCTGGAATCTGTTAGGAAGAAACATAACTTCTTTGGGTGTCTCCAGTATAAGGCAGAGAAAAGAATATTGACAAGAGTCCCAAGATATCTCTACATTTATTCATGTGGCCATTCTTCAATTAGGAGACTCGTCATTTCTGCTCAAATATTCCAGGCACCTAATTATGTATTTATGTAGCTACAGCTGATACAGGAATATGCAGCTGAGTTTTACAAACTGTTGTTAGATGGACACAAAAATGCTGGAAACCAGTTTGTCATTTTAAACACATTAGGGGCACATGCTTCAGGAAATAGGTTTAACTAAATAATCACTGAATACCATATAATTATTTTGTTTTAGTGGTTTGGCTTTAAATTCTACATTTAATCTAATTTCTAGAGTTAAAAAATTAATTTAGTCATAGAACTTTGAAGCAGCATTTTTTCAAAAAGCCTACAAAATTTTTATTTCATGTATGTACAGTTTGGTTCTTTCCAATAAAAAGTTATTAGAATTTTACCCGGTGAATTTTAATAAAAAATTAATGTCTCTGTTCTGTCATCCCAGGTCCCTGATAAAGACATAAGAATCTGAAAGCAGCATTGCAGTGGATTGAACTAACGAGTGGCAACCCGGAGACTCTAGAGCAGTGGTCCTCAGCCTTTTTGGCACTAGGGACCGGTTTCATGAAAGATCATTTTTCCACTGACCACTGGAGTGGGGGTGTGGTGGGATAGTTTTGGTATGAAATTGTTCCACTTCAGATCATCGAAGATTAGTTTGACTCTCATAAGGAGTGTGCAACCTAGATCCCTCACATCCGTAATTCACAATAGGGTTCATGCTCCTGTGAGAATCTAATGCCGCCACTGATCTGACAGGAGGCAGAGCTCAGGTGGTAATGCTCACTAGCCTGCCACGCACCTCCTGTTGAGCGACCTGGCTCCTAACAGACCAAGGACCGGTTCTCAGCCCAGGGGTTCGGACCCCTGCTCTCGAGGTGTATCCCTAATAGAACTCTACCAGAAAGCACCTGGAAAATGTGCTAAGAAAAGACTGCATTGTTACACACTTGCCATTTTGTTTAATTTCTTGGCAGAAGAAAACTCTCAAGACAATAGGGGTTGTGAGAAAATTATAGATCTATGAGGGTCTGGGGCAAGATAAGAGATCCCCAAATATGACAAAATTTCCATCAGAAAAGTGCTTCTAATTTGATTGTTAAGACACTGAGTATATTGCAGAAATGAACATTTGGGGCTGGGCACGGTGGCTCATACCTGTAATCCAAGCACTTTGGGGGGCCAAGGTGGGTGGATCACCTGAGGTCAGGTGTTTGAGACCAGCCTGGGAAACATGGTGAAACCCCATCTCTACTAAAAATACAAAAATTAGCTAGGCATGGTGGCATGCACCTGTAGTCCCAGCTACTAGGGAAGCTGAGGCAGGAGAGTTGCTTAAACCTGGGAGGCAGAGGTTATAGTAAGCAGAGATTGTACCACTGCACTCCAGCCTGGGCGATGGAGCGAGATTCCATCTCATCAACAACAACAACAAAAAGAAATGAATATTTGGAATCCACAGAGTTATCATAACTTTAATGTTATCTAAACCATGTAATTGTCTTACATCCAAAAAACATGTTGACCAAATTACCTACAGCCTCAAAGCATAATAATCAATGGCTGCCTTAGAACCTGCTGATATGGATTTTTTTACATTTTGCCACCCCACGCATCCCCCTGACATCTCTTTTGGTTAATTTGTACTCTTCCAAAGGAAACATTAAAAATTTTCTCTTCTGATGTGGTGGTTTCTGTTGGTTTTTGATCTGCACTGAGATAAAATTTGATGAAACACAAGATACCAATAAAAAGAGCAGCAGTGAATAACTTTCATGGGCTAAAATGTTCTTGACAAGGTATATCTTGTTTGTAAAAAGTGATCCTGAGGAACTGCTGCCTGATGTGGGGTAGGGCAAAGACATAATAATTGGAATGAGTTCTCAAATTAAATAGCATACTGACTCACTCTGATTTAAATGAATCAAGATATCACAAAATGAGGGATAAGAACAAGAAAAAGAAAGGCATATATGTATCCAAATTGAGCAATTTCATTTAACATTCTTCATTGTCTCCATGTGGTAGACATTTTATTAGGTGCTTAGGATCAAGATTACAAGATGTACAGAAAGAAGACTAGAAATGTAAGCTGAGGTGTGCTTATGAAAAGCCTTTCTGTCATGCTATGGAATGGCAAATCCTCAAAGGCTTCTGAGCAAAGGAGCAAGAGCAGAGACCAAGAGTGTGTAGCAGAGTGACTGATGGATTGAGGCAGTGGTGAAGAGTCCGAAGTTAGGGACTCATTTGAATAAATCGTGATGGATGATGGGGTCTTGGACTCAGCTAGTCATAGTGGACGGGATAGGAGGAAGCATTCTAGAAATAAATAGATCATACCTTGAGGAAGATGTAGGTATTTGGAGAGTGCCAGGAGGCAAAGATAATACTATATTCTTAGCTACTGCATCATTAACTTGGTACAGTACAGTATCAAGTTGGGCAGGGAAGCAGAGAGAAAGATAAATTCAGGCCGGGCGCGGTGACTCATGCCTGTAATCCCAGCACTTTGGGAGGCCGAGGCGGGTGGATCACGAGGTCAAGAGATCGAGACCATCCTGGTCAACATGATGAAACCCCGTCTCTACTAAAACTACAAAAAATTAGCTGGGCATGGTGGCGCGTGCCTGTAATCCCAGCTACTCAGGAGGCTGAGGCAGGAGAATTGCCTGAACCCAGGAGGCGGAGGTTGCGGTGAGCCGAGATCGCACCATTGCACTCCAGCCTGGGTAACAAGAGCGAAACTCCGTCTCAAAAAAAAAAAAAAAAAAAAAAAAAAAAAAAAAAAAAAAAAAAAAAAAAAAAAAAAAAAAAAAAAAAAAAGATAAATTCACTTTGGTACATGTTAAGTTTGCCATATCCCTGAAAAATATCAAATTGAGAAGTGTAGTAGTCTAGATCATGATTTCTAAACCTCAACCCTATTAATGTCGGGACTGGGTCATTCTTTGTGGTACAGTTGTTCTTTGCATAGCAGGATGCTTAGCAACATCCCTGGACTCTACCTTCCAGATGCCATTAGAAATCCATCCCAGCCTTAACAAAATAAGTGCCTTCAGACAATGCCAAATGTCTCCTAAGGGGAAAAATCATGCCCAGTTGATAACCACAGGTCTAGGGCTTGGAAAAGAAGGCCTGGTAGGTTTTTTTGTGCTGCACCAACTAAGCAATTGCGGAAGCACTGGAAAGAGATGGCATCATCAGGGAGAGACTGGAGCATAAAGGAAATAGGACAGTGACATTCAAGAGGAAAAGCTGTCAGCCAAGCGGTAGGCAAAAACACAAGGAAGTTAGTGTCAGAGCAGCCAAGAGGAAAATGAAGTTTTAAAAAGTGGAGAGGTCAATAGGAGAAATGCAGTGAAGGACTCAGAAGTACTCAAAGGAGAGAAGTCATTGGTCTGGGAAGCGTAGGAGTGAAGGGGGAGCAGAAGCCAAGCTGTGATGAGGAGTAACCAGGAAGTGGGGAAATGACCATTCTGGGCACTGTAGGGGCGGAGGGAGAAGTTCTCCCTCACCCTCTGAAGGTTCACTGGGAAATCAACTAAGTCAAAAGAGGCAGATTAATTGGAGAGAAGACAGACAAAGGTACACATGGGAGCCTTTGGAATGAAGATGCAAAGACCCAGGGATAATTATCCATTTTTATGCTTCTGTTCAACAAAGTCTGGTCAGCCGTATAGAAAGGATATAGGACAGAAAGGATATAAGCTAATGCTAATAGACTGAGAGGTGAAACCCAGCAAGACTGTGGGTCTAGATTTTTCCCAGCCTCTCTGAGCATTCATTCATTCATTCCTTCATCTGGGTGTCGAGCAGGACCCTCTCTGGAATGGTGGTCTCATGACCCATGATCTCACGAGGTAGGTTAGGTAAATTTTTTATGGCCACTTTTTATAGAAAAAGGAGGATGGAAATTTAGAATGATATTTTTCAGTTTTGGACTAAGGGGATTATCTTTGCCATGGCTGGCCTTGAGGAAGAATGGAGAGACAGGAGGCAAGAAAGTCAGAGAAAATCTTTTGCTTCTGAGTGCTTCATTTTGGGGCATTGTTTTCTAAGTCCCAGCAGTATCTACTACTCATTTCTAAAATTTTAAGGTGACAGAAGTTA